CTATTTTGTTGAGCTATTGCTGATTGATTTCTCATAGTATTTAGGTATTTTTCTTTCTTTTCACAGTCCATGCTGTCAAAATTCTTTCTAGACTTTAAAGCTTTTCTGTTAAGCATTTGTTTCTTTTTTGAGGCATCTATCTCTTTATACTTTTTTCTTCAATTTTCAAGCATTTGTTTCTTTTTTGACACATCAATTTCTTTATATTTTTTAGCACAAGTTTCAAGAAGCTCTTCTATTTTTACTCTATCCATCAAACTGTACCATTGCTTTTTCTTTGCTGGCTCCAATTGCAAGTAGTGGACATTGTATTTATTGTAGATCTCTCTTTTTCTTTGGTTAGACTTCAATTTTCTTATAATGTTCTTTCACTCTTCATTTGACAATGCTGATGAGCAAAGTAAAAAATAAGAGAAATGTTTTTTTCCATCGTTGATACAGTCATCTTGCCTATAAATTTCACTGACTCTGTTTACAAGGGCGTTAAGACTGAATGGTCCTAGGAGATGGAACTGCTCATTTTCACAGGTCAACATGAAGTAACAGTTGTTCTGAGTATTACATTGAACTATAAAGCTTATAAGAACATCATTACAACAAAATAAGTATCCCGTGGGCATAACACAACTTCTAATATTTTCTTTTAAAATACTTTTGACTAGACAGTCCTTCTTAACAACTGAGATAACACTGTGTTAGAGAGCCCTGATTCAAGTGTGAGTATTTTATTTTGATTTCTGCATCATAGACTGTTATATTACTTGGCATTTTGCCTACATGGTCTACATTACACTTCTCATAGAACAAACATGCATGTTCATGGAGAGCCTGTAGTGCTGAAGAATCCCAGTAAGTGCATGATTTGATAACAGAGAAATAAACTGTATATATGGACATAATTAAGTGCTTATTTCTTGATAACTGAGTATCATTCATTAATTCATTGCACACTGAAATGGAGGCATTTCATTGTAAGGCAGTGGTTGATACATAGTGGCATTCATCAATATGACCTATAGTAATTGTAGACAAAGTATTTCTTTCCTGAACTGGGTAAACAGTGGTAAGTGGTGCAAAGCCTTGATTAGATTCTACTATTTGTATAGTAACCTTTAATGCATCTGCAACTGCTTGAATGATGAGTGCATCAGCCCATGTAACTTGAATACACATATTATTCAGATATCTTAGCCAGGAAGTTTCGGTATTGCTCTCAATAAATCTCTCTGGGTTGTCTCTCGTAAATTGAACCCCAGCAGTACATATACGCATATGATCGTTGCTATTGCCATATAATTGATGTGATACAGATCTAAAGAAACAATCACCTGCATCGCCAACATCTATTGATTGTAAACCAAATTCCCCTTATCTTGACTACATCAAATTCTCAGAGGAAATAGGAGAGGTCAACTGCATTGTTGAGCGGTGATTTTGCTTAAAAGGTCTAATTATTACTTCATCATGATCAGTGTTGTATTGAGTAGGTCCTGGATTCTTCTCAACATCTTTACTTAGTTTGAAATTCATATAATTGGTCATATGACTCACACAACTGCAAGAAAATAATGATAAAATATCGACGTACTTTACATTTTAGTTTCATTAAATTGTGATGCCTGCTACTGAAAGACAACAAATAAGCTTTCTTGGCAATGGGTATAGCCATTTTATTTAAGTTAATTATCTTTGGATCGCGTTTGTTATTACATTTATATCGTGCATGATAAAGTTTTCTCACCTTATTAACATAGCGATTGAGCTTTGAAGACTTCAGTATCTCAATCGTTGAAATCTTTTTCAAGACAAATTTCTTCAACATGCTATTCTTCTTGTTGAGACCTCTTAGAAATAGCAGTGGAATTCTACTCGGTTCACGAGCATGTCCAGATCGCCTTGTAGCACGTTTTTTAAGATGATATACAGTTAGCTTTAAATAAGTGTTTGCTTTGATTCTCGATAAGTTTCAAGATGGCAGGTTCACTCATAAGTAATCGCTCGTAAATTTGTCTCTCCAAATATTCACTCTTAAATTTTCGCTCATAAACTAGTGCATCGTAAAGGCTGGGCCGTGTTTCGTTCCCCAAAAGGCTATAATCTTCATCTTGACTGTCCTCCGTACGTGCCTCGTCCTTTTCAAAATGGCGGATAAGATTTCAATGAGCCATCGAGCACCCCCAAAAGTAACGAGCCAGCGATATATTTCCAATCAGCGATATATACCTAACAATGTAACGTTGAAAAAACGACAGAAACCGTCTGAAAGCGGAAATGGCACCCTTGGGTTGTGTTATGCAGGATTGAGCAATTATTTCCGGGGCCCACAACACAACCCAAGGGTGCACCGCGGAAATACGTTTATCGGGGTCCGGTACAGTATTTT